GACGCTGTTTATACACCGCTTGAGAAAGATTACTCAAGACATCTTTAATCCTTCGTTCTTCATCCTCGCTTCCATCTACCAAGTCTATCTTTCTCTTTATCTCGACCAGTACAGATGAAAGGTAGGCTTCAAATCAGTAACTTATAGTCTCGTTTTCCATTTTATAGCATCAAAAACCTTAAACTTATAACAGCAGGGACAACTAGGTCTTGAATAAAACCATCACCCTCTTGTACAAGGATTCACTTTTTTGTTTTGTAAGGGACATTTGTTAGAGCATCTTTGTATGAGAACACGTTCCGCTTATTTTCTTCGGGCATGAACATGTATTCCTTAAGTACATTGTATAACACTTGGACTAATCCACGTGGTTGTTTTGGAGTGGCTGTCCGTAAGAGAAAGTGGCGCGGGTGAGCTGGACAAACAGCTAACAGTTGAAGAAAACCACGGTTGTTCTTGACAACTTGAGACATTGATACAAACTGAACTAATTGTGGTAATTTACGGTCTTTTATTAAATGACTTGGAGGGAAAAATGGAAATGTGATGGTGGTGGTAAAACAAAAAAATAGAAATGCGGTGGTGGTGGTGGTAAAACAAAAAAATAGAAATGAGGTGGTGGTGGTGGTAAAAGAAAACAATAGAAATGTGGTGGTGGTGGTGGAGGAGGAGGAGTAAACCTATATAAATGCGCAACATTCTATCTTTTTCTCAGTCTACAGTCTGCTCCTGAGAAGATGACATGAGTTGGTTCTTCTCCGTTTGCGAAAACTCGTTTAGTAGAAAGGATAGCATGCAAGGGCATGTGATTCTGAGCAGTTTCGCTTCGAGGATCCTTTCATGTGCATTGTTGCTGGGATGACTGGGTCTGGAAAGAAAGCCTGGGTTCGATCTCTACTACAGCAAGCTTCAGAGCCGATTTATCTTCCTTCGGAGAGGATAGTTTGGTTTTATTCAAAATGGAAACCTGTGTATACAGAAATGCTAGTGGCCATGCCATACACTGAATTTGTCAAGAGAATTCCCAAGGCTTTGGAGTAGGAGAGTAGTATAAGGGGGTATGTGGACGAACAAAAGTGAGGGGTTAACGGGGTTTACGGGGTTAACGATGAAATCGTTATCACCAGCAAGTCAGTCAAGTTAAACCAGTTTTAGTTTGTAGAGGTTAATGTCGAGGGTTAAATTTGTTGGGCGCAATGTTTAAAGTTTTTTGAACCTAACTAAATGTCCTAACCTAACTAAATGTCCTAACCTAATGTTTACTTTTATGCTGAGGGTTAAACCAGTTTTAGTTTGTCGAGGTTTAATGTTTAGAGTTAAATCAGTTAGGCGCAGTGTTTAGAGTTTTCCGAACCTAACTAAATGTCCTAACCTAACTAAATGTCCTAACCTAACTTAATGTCCTAACCTAACTAAATGTCCTAACCTAATGTTTACTTTTATGCTGAGGGTTAAACCAGTTTTAGTTTGTCGAGGTTTAATGTTTAGAGTTAAATCAGTTAGGCGCAGTGTTTAGAGTTTTCCGAACCTAACTTAATGTCCTAACCTAACTAAATGTCCTAACCTAACTTAATATCCTAACCTAACTAAATTTCCTTACCCAATGTTTACTTTTATGCTGGGGGTTAAACCAGCTAATTCCATCAAGTTTTATGTTGGTGATGTATACTAAATTAGTTATGTTTTACTAGGTCACAGTTGAGTGATTACGGGCATGTTTGAGCATTCCCATTGACGTCACATTTGTTTCTGCTGACTCAGCAGAATTCCTTTCTATTTTTGTTCATCCTAATGTCTGGAGGTATAAAAGGGGTTAACCGCTAAGTGAAGTCATTTGATTGCAATACGCGGGTCTGTGCAGAGCTATCACGATGCAGAAAGTTACGTACCCTAGACACTGTCCAAAGTGTAACAAATAGTTGAAGAATAGAATTACATTTTGTCGGCACAAAAAGTATTGCGGTACTAATATCAGAGTCCCCTGTTTACACTGCGACAAGTTGTTTTCGAGGAAGGACAAAATGGTGGCTCACGTCAAAAAGTTCCACTCGGAAGCAGCAAAAAGGAAAGCTGAAGAAGATGCGGAGCTCTTTCGTTTAGAGCTTTTACATGCCAACAAAGTACCTCGATTAGGTAATGAGGAACAGACTGGAGGCGCAGTTACCCGAGGTATGAAACGTTCTGGTGATAATGAAGAAACCAATCCTGATGTCAAAAGGGTCAAGAATGATTTGGAGGAATCCGAAAGATCCAGGTCCAAGGATGTGGATTATGAAAAGCCGCTGTTTCAAGATAACATAGCTAAAATGGGGACACCGAAAAAATGGAAAAAAGGAAAAGTAATTGATCAGAAGTTTACATTTACTCTGGATTACATGCGTGACCTAAAAACCGAAGAAGATTTAGGTGTGGAAGCCGTTCATGCATTGACGATAGGAATGGATAATTTAATGGAAGACATGGAGATTGATCCAACCAAATATGACCTTGCGCTTCAAATAGGAAGCAAGGAACATTTTAAAGAATCCAGCAATACAAGTGAAACTTGGCATATTCCAGCAGATGATTATTTTAATCGTTTGCAAATGACACAAGCTATGCTGGGACATATTGCGAATGTCTTGAATTCAGGGGAATTTATTTCCTCGGATAGAGGCTTTTCAGCGTCCATGACTCTCATACGTCGTGATGTCAAAGGAGGAAAACAAGCAGGCTACAAGCCAGGATCCAAAATCTGGGAAGAAGTGGTCAAAGAATTGCGCTGTGTACATGAAATCAAAAACAAAGATGAATTGTGCTGTGGCCGTGCTATTGTAGTGATGCGAGAGTATGCCAAGAAAAAAGCAGGCGAAAAGAACTGTTACGAAAATGTGCGTCAAAACAGAGGCAAGAAAACCCAACAACTAAAAGAAGCCAAAAAGTTATACAAAGAAGCAGGCGTCCCCGAAGTATCATGTGGGTACGAAGAAATTAAAAAAAATTTCAAGAATATTTGGGTCCTAAGGGCTACCAATTGATTGTGGTCGACCCAGTACGTGGTGGTGTGATATTTACAGGAGAAGCGTACAAGTTTGCGCCTAAAGTGATACAACTTGTGAAAACCTATTATGAGGACAGTGATGGAGAAACAAAAGCCCATTATGATGGTGTGTATAGTATTGCAGCCGTGATGAACCGTTGCAAGTTTTGTCGTTATTGTTGCAAGGGTTACAATACAGAAGATGCCAAACACCATAATTGTTTGCATGCCAATTGCCCTAGCTGTATGCGTCGTAGGAACAAGACATCGAAGGGGTTTCCTGACTACACCGGATGGAGTAAACCTACTATCACCTGTCGTACGTGTTGCAGATCATTTTATGGAGAAGATTGCTACCGAGACCATTTGATTCAAAAGAAACAAACAGAAACCAGAATGGAAGCAGATTTGATCCATCAAGTAGCGAGAGACAATGATATTATGATTCCACGTAAAGAAGTTATGAAAAGTGTTTGCGAGATGCATCGCAAATGTAACACCTGTTTGGTCTCCTACAAAGTAAAAGAAGAAGTAACGCATAAATGTGGTCATGGCCAGAGTTCCAATTGTTTGAACTATGTGGAGCTGTATAACCACCAATGTTTTATTATGAATGACATTTACAAGGCTAATAAGCGAAGAGACAACCAACAAAAAGCAGAGAAACGTTGTCTCGAAGCCATCAACCACTGACCACTGACCACTGAAGACGGGAAAAAAGTGAAAGATGTTGCTACAAGACCCATCACGGTTAAAGAAATGAAGTAGACTTGATAAAGAAATATCCACCAACACAAGAAACCATCGAAGCAGTGAAGAAACAATTAAAAGATTTGGGGATTGATGTGACAGACATTCCAGAAGATGAATTACAGATGTTCCAATTTGAACATTTTTACCTGACGGAAGGCAAGAAAGAAAAATACAAAGAGCTTGTGTTTGCAGACATCGAGTGTTGTATTGATGACAACAGGAAATTTACCCCGAATCTCATCTGTTTTGAACGTGAATCCTCAGACAAGAAGTACCATGGTTGGGGTAGAACATGTCTACGTGACTTCCATAAACAGTTAATGTCATGGCTAAAAGAAACAGAAAAAGAAAAAGGTTTACGATGGAATGAAATAGAAATGCAGGTGTACTTTCATAATTTCCGAGGATTTGACGGAGTGTTTATCATCAAGCAGTTGTTTGACATGAATGTGAAAGTCTCTAAAGTGTTGATGACAGGACAGAAGATTTTATATTTTGAATGTGGTCAACTGAAGTTTAAGGACTCCATGTCTTTTCTGAATATGCCCTTGGAGAATTTCACCAAGACCTTTGGTTTGACTGAGCTGAAGAAGGGGTACTTTCCTCACAAGTTCAATAGAGAAGAGAACTTGAACTACGAGGGCCTCATTCCTGACCTGAAGTATTATGAGACTAATTGCATGAACACCAAGAAAAAAGAAGTAGTGGAGAAATGGCATACGGAGGAATTGTTGAAAGGAGAGATCTGGAACTTTAGAAAAGAGTTGCTTGAGTATTGTGAAAGCGATGTCAAGTTGTTGAAGGAAGGTTGTTTAAGCTTTGCAACAGATTTTGAACAGGAATGCGGGTTTAATCCGTTGAAAGAAAATATAACCATCGCCAGTGCCTGCCATAACTTTTGGAGGAATCACCAGATGATTCCCTACTCTATTGCCGTTGAACCACCACATGGATGGAGTGGAATAAAGCCAGCACAGAGCAAGATTGGTTTTCAATGGCTTTATGTACAAGACCAAAAGCTTGGTGGGAATAGAATCAAGCTGCAGCAAATGGCGGGGAATATTCTATAAGCGTGGAAAAGTATGGAAAAGTAAGAGTAGATGGTTATGATCCCATCAAGAAAACAGTCTTTGAGTTTCACGGCTGCGAGTTTCATGGCTGTCCTAAATGCAAACCAAACAATCGACATGTCAAAACTTGGCATCACCCTGACCGCACCGTGGATGAAATGTTTGAATTGACAAAAAAGAAGACAGACGTGTTACGGAAAGCAGGTTACACCGTGAAAGAAGAGTGGGAATGTAACTTCAAGCGAAAACTTGCAGTTGATCCAGAGTTACAAGACATGATCAAAGATTTGGAATGGACGGCGCCATTAAACCCAAAAGAAGCCTTGTTTGGAGGCCGTACTGGATTAAGCTGTTGTTATCACAAAACAGTCCATGGAGAAAGAATTGACTATGTGGATTACACGTCATTGTACCCGTGGGTCAACAAATATGGAACGTACCCACTAGGACACCCGACCATCATGAAAAATCCAGTGGATCAAGACATTCAAAGTTACTTCGGCGTAGCAAAAGTCGACATTATTGCCCCTGAAGGATTGTTTCACCCGGTGTTACCCATGAAAATCGGTGAAAAGTGTATGTTTACTCTGTGTGCTACCTGTGCCCAAGAACAGTTGGAACAACCATGGTACCAAAGAAGTAATCTTTGCAAACATTGGTGTACACAGGAACTGAAAATGGCTGTATGCAGAGGTTACAGATTAATGAGAATCCATGAAGTTTGGCACTTGCCTGAGAACCAGAGAAAGGAAGGATTGTTTGCTCCCTACGTCAACAAATTTTTGAAAGCCAAACAGGAAAGCAGCGGGTGGCCCTCTGATTGTATCACTGACGAACAAAAAGCCAAGTACGTGAGGGAGTATGAAAAATATGAGGGGATTTTACTGGACAAAGACAAGATTGAGGTCAATCCAGGCCGGAAAGCAGTGGCTAAAGTTATGGTGAATAGCTTCTGGGGTAAATTTGGCGAAGCAGATAAAAAGCCCACAACCAGTACTTTGCAAAAAGTAGAAGATTGGGAAAAACTGATCAATGATGATACTGTGATTGTCAAAAACGTGAATGTTTACAGTGAAGATGTCATGGAAGTCACTACAGTCAAAAAAGAAGGCGCATGGGCTCCTAATACAAGGGGTAATATTTTTATTGCCCTGTTCACCACAGCCATAGCTAGACTCAAGCTGTATGAAGCCTTGGATGTATTGCAACAAAGAGTCCTGTATTACGATACAGACTCTGTCATCTATAAGAGCAAACCTGACGATGAGAAATTACCACTGGGGAAATTTTTGGGACAATTCACTGATGAGATCGGCGGGGATTTCATTGATGAATTTGGTTCAGCAGGACCGAAATCCTGCAGCTATAGGACAAATGCGAACAAGACAGAATGCAAAAGCAAAGGACTTAAAAACACTCACGCAGTCAGAGAAGTCTTAAACTGTGAGTCAATGTTGAATCACATTCAGTTGGAGCTGAAAGACCCTGAAGAAAGCAAACGACAGCTAAAAACGACGGTTTTTAATCATTTTGTCAGGAATAGTAAAGTCAAAAGTATTCATTTGGAGGACATGGTGAAGATCTTTCAAGTGAATTGGGACAAGCGAGTCGTTGACAGGACAACGGGGATGACTTACCCTTATGGCTATGTTAGATTGTAATTTTTGCATGCGCTAAGTTTTTATACATAATGTGAGAACAAAGTTTGCTTGGTAGCGCGAGTTCTCATGACAGAGCAAAGTTTGCTTGGTAGCGCGAGCTCTGACGTTTTTATATTGCTGTAATTAAGTAGTGGTAAGGTTACAATAAAGAGTGTTGCTGATACAAAATACATGTGTGGTTATTGGTGTAAAAAAATTTCCCAAACCTTAAAAGCGAAAAACGAAAATCCATGAGGCAATGTCTAGGGTTAAATCAAAATTACCCTAACCCTCACCCTAACTAATCCCAAAGGACTAGGGTTTAACCCTAACCCTAACCCTAACCCTAATCCCAAAGGACTAGGGTTTAATCCTAACCCTAACACTAACCCTAACACTAACCCTAACCCTAACCCTAACCCTAATCCCAAGGGGCTAGGGTTTAACCCTAACCTTATTAGCATTTTAACCCTAACCCTAACCCTAACCCTAATCCCAAGGGGCTAGGGCTTATTAGCATTTTAACCCTAACCCTAATCCCAAAGGACTAGGGCTTATTAACATTTTAACCCTAACAAGGAGAAGGACTGGTACGAGTGTAAATAAAAATGTGATGACTGTGAAATAAGGTTGGTATTTTGTTCACACTTACACTCACGCATATACACACCTCCTTTTTACGTCAGCCACAGTTACGTTCTAAACCTCGTCAATAGGATAACCGTTCTTTTTGCAAAATTTTCACCTGTATGGTATGATCTGTACAACCCAGTGCTTTCAGTGGAGTTAACAGAATTTGCAGACAGAGTGGTGAGAAATAACGACCCTGTGCAAGAAATTCAGATGGATCTCACAGTGCACCAACACAGAGTACCAGAAAACAATGAAAACCTGTTGATGTCAATGAGTGATGGTTTATTACGAGCAGTTCAACATTGGATTAGAAACCGACGTTTATCCATGAAAACAAGATGTTATTTGACCCTTCAAACTGTGGAACCGATTGCTCTCCCGATCACAAAATGTTTAGGGGTGCTGACAAATATTCCAGTCTTTGCCTTCTTTCCATGGACTGTGTCATTATCACGCACTATGTTAGCGATGTTCGATTGGCTGAGTTATAACTGGTTACTTGCCAAGCTTCTTTCATCAAGAAATGACATGAAATTGGTAATCACAGTGATTCACGAAGGACATGCATGAACATGTTAAATCTCAAGAGACATTCATGCTCAAACTTGCCCGATGACGTCATTGCCCTAGGGACCTTTGGTTGTGTATATCAGTGAGTGAAAGATGTTAAAACTTTTATAATTAGACAAAATTACAAGTGAAGAGGTGAAGACTACAACTATGAAGATACCAATTGCTATCTCAGACGAGCAGAGACTTACATCAGCGAAAAACAGACATCATTCATCATCAAAACACTGTTTTAAAGCTAAAGAGAGAAGACAGATCAACAAAGAAGAACGAAATAAACGCATTGGGTTATCAGAGGAAAAGATAAAAGAATTGGATGGATCTGGCAAAGCGTTTTTCAGATGATGTTGAGAGCAAATGGAGAACTTTTTTGGTTTAGATGGCAGAAGGGAAACAAAGAACCGCCTAAAGGATTTCGTTTCAAGCCGTATAATTTAAATAAAAGCATGTGGTTTTTATTTACAAACCAGTTGGAAGAACCACTACAAAACATGACAGATGAAGATAGACAAGAGCGAGCGATGAGAGGATTTTTATGTTGCAGATGGGCTGTAGGAAATAACATTGTACGACCTTGTTATGATCATCTACCTTTACATTGGGAGACTTCACAGGCTTGGACTTGCCCCGATGACGTCATTGCCCTAGGGACCTTGGGTAGTGTATATCAGTGAGTGAAAGATGTTATCGGAAATTACTATTCATTCAAACAGTGTAAGATGATGGAGCATATACCTATTTTAGAACGGCAGGTTCAAGATATGCAACAATTTATGCTTTTTTGGTCCTACTATAAAGCAAGACTTCAACATGGAGAAGGAAGGCAGCCCGACTTTAAGACCAATTTTTCACCAATTGGACCTGAGAAACCTTCAACAGACGAGAAAGAATTTTATCAGTTCTTTATACACTTTAGTCCTGAGGAAACACCAAACAAAGATTATTTTTCAAGAACGGCATTGGGAAACCAATTGATGAAGACTTTATCATCATGGAAACTTGTACACCCAAACAAGGCAATGATGGATGTGACTATAACCAAAGGAACGGGTGAATTCATTTATGAGATCGTAAACATACAATTACATTCTCAATGCAAGGAAAAAGCAGCTCGTTATTATACCATGAATCAAGCCTTAATGGACATGGTAGCAACCAAGCTCATTTTAGCATGGGATACATACTCTATGAACTTTGTAGTACATATTACACTTCACAATTATTGTCATTAGCTAGTTTTAGGAGGTCAATAAAAAATCACACAATGATTACAGTTTAAACCTGTGTTTTATTTTTACTGGGTGCTGTTTAATTGATTACATAGTTGGGTATATTTGGACTGCAAGTCGGTGAGTTCCTGCATGAGCTGTGCTACAGACAATTTCTGGGGGTTTTTGGATGTCTTGAGTAACTGAGAGCGTTCACATTCCCGCTGTTTCTTCATAGTCTTATAATTGTCTTGATCTTGCACAAGTTTTTTCTCCTCATCCAAAATCATTTGATCTAAAATGACACAATGTACGTCTTCACAGGCCGCATTGACAACAGCTTGAGTTTCAGGTGATTCCATTTTTGGGAAGGGTCGTAATGATTTGAACCGTTTAGGAAATGTGCCCTTTTTGAGATGGTTTCTGAATCCTTTGATGGCTTTTTCACGATACTTGATGCGTGCCTGGATTGTTTGCAGTTTTTGACGATAACTTTCTAGTGTATGTTTCTTACTTTTTACTGTAGTTTCCATAGGATTATTTTCTTTGATAGGTTCAGACACAGTGGGAGGATTATTTTCTTTGACAGGTTCAGAGACAGAGGGAGTTTCTTCGAGTGCAGACATAACGGCGATGTTACCTTGACAAGATGTGAGATAAAAATGATACCTTAACGTGAGAACGATGTCAATTTATAGTCTGAGGTGAGACCTGAAAACATAAAAGAATAGTCAGTGTAAAAATATCATTCATTTAACACAAGTTATCATGATGGTAGGAACGTATGACGCATGGACCCCAACGGAGCAGTGGGATAAAGATTTAGAGGAAATGTGGATTAAACATGAGCAAACAGAGAGAGAAATGTACCCTGAGAACAAGGAAAATCTACATTGGATGGAGTTAGCATTGGATGACCCCTTGTTTAAAGTCAGTTATACCCAAATATTCAGATCTACTTTGTATGTGATTGACATAAACCAAAAGCCTCCGTCAAAAGAAGGTGTGAGAAATATGGATTTTGAAATTGTGTATCCTATATACCATGAGTTAAATGACATTATTGAGCTAACAAAACCTTCCAAGACATCACAGATTAAAATCAGAGCCTCCTCCAGAGAACATTGGGATGTCGTCTATACGTGTGAATTCCGAGTAGATCAATGGTCTTATAACAAAATGAATGAAATCATAGAGGCCTTAACAGATCAGCTCACCATGAAACAAGACTTAAACGGAGGTTTGTTTATACAACTGTCTTTTAATGAGGAGAACTAGGTTGCAGTCAAAGTCAACAAATAAAAATCTTAAGTGTGGAAAAAGTCTGCAACTAAAAAATCTTATGTGTGAAAAAGTCTGCAAATAAAAAATCTCAAGCGTGGAAAAAGTCTGCAACTTACAAATGTGATGGGATAGTTAAAAAATTTAAAAAATTTTCATCGTGGTTTCATCGACGATGAATCGCCGTTTCATCGTGGTTTCATCGTTTTATCGGGGTTTCATCGTAGTTTCATCGTAAAACAGAAAAAGTATAAATTTACTACATTCAGGTAAAATATCATCAGTTCAGTTAACACTTCACTGTGTCAACATGTCTTTAAAGCAGGGGCGAACTTGTCCTGTTTGTTTGAAAGAAAATCTTTTTTATTTAGGGGATCACTTAAGACAAGTCCATCAGCTATCAGGTACTGAGAAGAAAAATTTGTTAAAATCGGCGGTCGTTTCACCTACAACATCTAGGGGATTACCTTATAAGTCTCCTTACCCCTTTTTGCGAATGCCACAATATACTATGAACTCTCAGTTACTTCCACCAAGTAAAGAGAATTTAACCACCATTCAAACGCGTAATCTGTCTCAAACTATGAAACCGAAATCCCAAAAGGTAACCAAGATAGAAACAAGTCAGTGTTTAGAGACACAACCTTACCCTGAGTTTAAGTTTAATCACATGTTTTCCATGCTTGTGGTGGGACCGACGCAATGTGGGAAAACTTACTTTGTGCAACAAGTATTAACCAAGAATTGTATCGAGTACCCAAGTGAGAAATCTACACAGATTTACTGGTTCTATAATCAATGGCAACCAAGGTATGATGCATTGAAACGAGCGCTAAAAAAGAGGATTCAGTTTACCCAAGGGTTACCAGACCTAAGCGAAGATCTCACTGAAATCAACCCTGAGTATAACAATATATTGGTGTTTGATGATTTGATGTCTCAAGCGATAGATAGTCCTGTGTTACCACAGTTGTTTACACAGGGAAGACATCGTAATGCTAGCGTGATTTTATTGCTACAGAATATGTTTCCGAAGGGAAAATACAACACTGACATCAGTAGAAATGCACAGTATGTGGTGTTGTTTCGAAGCCCTAGTGACAGAAAACAGATGGATATTTTTGCAGAGCGAACATTTGCAAAGGATCGCAAAACTTTATGTCTGCGTATGCCAAAGAAACACTGAAGCCTTATGGGTATATTTTGATCGACAACCAGCCGAAAACCACGAGTGAGAAACAAGTGGTCTCCGAGGTGTTTGGAAAGTGCAAAAGGTATCCACACATCAGTACACAGTCAGAGATAACCCAAGTTACAACAGACGTACAA